TGTGTGTGTGTGTATATATATATATATATGTGTGTGTGTGTGTGTGTGTGTGTGTGTGTGTGTGTATATATATATATATATATATATATATATATGGGGGAGTTGGTTTTGGCTTCTAAACATCTTTAAACCACCATTGGTCTATGGTGATTACTCAACACCACCTTCTTTGAAATTAGTGTTTTCTGGCTCGTTTTGTCATTCTACGGAGGAGTGTGTAGAAAGATTCTCTGAATATATCCTCGCTGGACTCTACAAGCTAGTGCTATGTGTGCTAACCAGTCTTTTCATTCAAGTAATCAGTGTCTTGTGCATTTATTATATTTCACATCCCCTTTTTAAGAGATCATTAAAGCACAAGGGCTCAAATTCTGAAGTGTAGAAAATTATCTTTCCTTCATGTGCTTGGCATTTGCTAAATAAGCAGGGCAAACTTCCTTATGTGGATGCACATACCGCCCACACCTCTTGTTCTTGAATTTGCCATTGAGGAGATCAATGCTAATGCCAGATGTTCATGAAACTGTTCTCATGTTCTCAGCCACACTCCTTTTCAACTCAGAGGTGTGAAATAAAAAGCAAAACACTTCTGAAACAGGAGGTTTGTGACTCTTTAATGTGGGTTTGTTGCAGGTTGTGGCCTATAACACGGAAGGGAAGAGTAACCCCAGTGCTGTGTCTGAGTTCACCACTGCTCCTGACAGGCCCAGCTGCCCGTGCAGACTCGCAGTGAAGGGAAAACCTCACCCGACCAGCTTCCGTCTGACCTGGGGTCAGTTTACCATCTGACAAACACACACAGGCTTTTCAGAAGCCTAATTTGTAACCCTGGGTTAGCTTTGTTACAACTTTATTTTATAATATATTACATTAGATTAGATTTTATGTTATATTTAGTGCTGTTAGAAGCCTTGCAATATTCTGCAATAACAGCACTCGTACAGCCTCTTGATGTTCCACCACAAGATGGCAGTAGAGGCTGCATAGTAAAATGCTTTTCATTGCATAAATTTCAAACTGCAGCTGATCAAGTCATTATAAATCAGGTAAGTGACTTTCTAAGTCGATCTCTCTCTTGTATGTTGCAGTGCTGTATTTATACCATAGTAACCTGGTATTGTTTGCTTTGCTCTGGCTTTTTTGGGCTTAATTATTGAGATCTCTTGATTGCAACAGAGAAATACTGGTAAATGTCTGTAGACTGATGACATTTCATGCTGTTCAGCCTTATAATCTAAATGTGAGCAAAATCACCTGTTTTAGGGGTGAGCGCACGACATAGGCTACCTGAAGAGCTAGGAGGGATGCGGGGGAGAGGGGTGTGCGATGTATTTAAGGACCGGTTTGCGAGAGATTATCATTCATTTGCGGGCATTTGGGAGTCTCTGTGCACTTGCGGGATACTCCTAGTCTTAGCAACTGGATGAATGTAAAGGAGGATTAAGCTAAATTGTTTCTACTCTATAACTAATGTTCTCAACTCACAGCAATAAAACTTTACAATGAGTGCAACAGTTTGTATTCTATAGTTTATTATTATAATTTTTCATTTTCCATATCTGCAATGCCTGTATTTTGGCTTATTTTTTTTGCAGTACACTTAAAATCCAACATGGAAATCAATGTTTTCTTTATTGGCATTGATTGTTTTGAAATTTAAATGTCATTAACATGTCTGTGTTTTAATTTCTGTAATAAATATGGCTGTCAAGCCAGGATCTTGACGGTTTATTGTGGGTATGTTGTTTACATGAAGAAATCTGTGTTACAAGTTAAACAAAAATTCTATTAAACCATTATATTTTGAATTTTACTTCTAATAAACAATTATATTTTGAATTTAAATAGTTTTTGTCTTGCGTTTACATTAATTTTACATTTGCATAGCCAAAATGACAAGTTTCAGTGTTTTATTTATTTATAAATAATTTTTTCGGGGGTTTTTTTTACCTTTATTTTTGATTGGACAGTATAGATAATTGACAGGAAAGCAAGGGGAGCAGAGAGAGGGGAAGGATCGGCATAGGACCGCGAGACGGAATCGAACCTGGGTCACCGCGAGCACCGGAGTGCATGTGGCGACGCACTAACCACTACACCACTAGCGCCGACAAGTTTTAGTATTTTAAATGCTATTAATCTCGATAAATTTTTTAAAAAGGTGCGATTAATCGCGATATATTTTTTTATTCGATTGACAGCACTAATATATATATATATATATATATATATATACTTTTTTGTTTATTGTGTTTTCTCAGATCCTCCTAAAGACAGTGGTGGCTCAGATGTGACTAAGTATGTGGTGGAGCTTTCAGAAGGGTTAAGTGGTATGTTTTACTGCGCATATCCACACATGCTCAGTTTGATACTGCTATTATTATGGTTATTAGCTAACTCTTTGTTTCTGTGTGTGTGTGTTTTGTTGTGTGTGTGCCTGTGCATACATTATTTCTGTGCGTTCGTGTGTGTTTCTTTTCAGGTTCCTCCTGGAGTCAGGCGTACAGTGGTTCGGCTCTGGAGTGTGTTTGTGATGGTTTGAGCCCAGGATCTTCATATCAGGCCAGAGTTCACTGCATCAGTGCGGGAGGAGAGAGTCCGGTATGATCAACAGCTAATTAGACCTTCGTTTTTTAAATCACACACTCAAACGCTCTTCACTTTTGAATGTTTTAAAAACAATAAAGAAAGTTATAAAAATCACGATAATACAATGAATCGTCAATTATTGCAACAAGAAAATTCGGTATCATCCACTTTCCTGTAAATCCGTTCACTTCCGCACGAGTTCTGCACTTGTTTCTCCTCCACGCCTTCACAGTCTCGACACACTTTTTTGTCAATGGAGCACTTTTGGCAAGCGGCTGGTAATAATTTCTCTCTTGCGCTGAGGAATGCCAGCTGTAATGCCATTGTGTGTGTGTTTGTGTGGCGCAGATGCATATCTGCATGCGGGACTGTGACTCATGTTGGCAGGCGCTGGTTTTCTCGTCCGTGAATGTGAGAGGATGGCTGTGGTTGGCTTTTCTCCTACACACACGTTTGTTGAGGAGGAGGTGGAGGACTGTTAAAGTGCGGCAGGATGTTATGCTCTTTCTGAGTTCTTATTCTCTTTTTTTTCTGTTTTTAATAGTTGACGGAGGCCTTGCAGGTCCAAACGCCACCAGTTCCTCCTGGTCCATGTCAGCCGCCCAGGGTCGTGGGTAAACCCAAAGCCAGAGAAGTGCAGTTACGCTGGGGTAAGATTACATTCTGTGTGTGTGTGTGTGTGTGTGTGTGTGTGTGTTTGTGTTTGTGTTTGTGTTTGTGTTTGTGTGTGCGTGTGCGTGTGCGTGTGCGTGTGCGTGTGCGTGCGTGTGTGTGTGTGTGTGTGTGTGTGTGTGTGTGTGTGTGTGTTTGAAATTGGCATGAACGGGAATTTGTTAAGACTTTTATTTCAGTATGTTGATGTGCAGGTGTCACAGTAGGTAGTGCTGTCGCCTCACAGCAAGAAGGTCGCTGATTCGAGCCTCAGCTGGGTCAGTTGGCGTTTCGGTGTGGAGTTTGCATGTTCTCCCTGCGTTTGCGTGGGTTTCCTCTCAGTGCTCCGGTTTCCCCCACAGTCCAAAAACATGCGGTACAGGTGAATTGGGTAGGCTAAATTGTCCGTAGTGAATGAGTGTGTATGGATGTTTCCCAGAGATGGGTTGCAGCTGGAAGGACATACACTACGTAAAACATATGCTGGATAAGTTGGCGGTTCATTCCGCTGTGGCGACCCCAGGTTAATAAACTGACTAAGCCGAAAGTGAATGAATGAATGAATGAATGTTGATGTGCTTCACCAAACTCCCATGAAGGGCTTTGACTTGAGCATTTTTGAAATTTAATGTTTGATGTAATTGCAACTGAAACATAAAGAGGGGGAGGGGCATGTAATAGCCCCTCCCCTTTAAAAAAAAAACAGCCAATAGTGTTTTGTTTTTATCACAGCTCTGCCAGTGAGAGCAGTTGAGCTTTAGCACATCCAAAGAGCATAGAATCACCAAGAGGCGACACTCTAGTGCAATTTTGGAAACAGCCACTAGAGGGCGGGGTGGAATGAAAACTGTAATAGAACTACAGCATATTATAAGTCTGTAAAATAAACTATTAAAAGTGCTGATGATTGTGATTGTAAGTGTTGTATTGTCGTCTTTCAGGTTGCATCTCAGCTCAAACGCACTTTTTAAAAACATAAATAAAAAACAAAGCAGCTGCTCGCCATCGCGACAGCAATAAGATGCAATGGACAGCCGGTCGCTTTCACTCCAAAATGGTGGAATCCGGGGCTGTTGCTGGGCGCTGCTGTTACAATGGAACGTTCTATTGAGTGTCGCCTCTGGGGGCTCTATTTTGACGGTTCATGCGCAGAGCGCAAAACGCAGGGCGCAAACGCTTTCAGGGCGTGTCAGAACGCATTTTTGCTAATTTACGTATGGGAAAATCCGCTTTTTATTAGCCTATAAATAATTAATTGCGTTTGTTAAGCGCAAATATTCGTTTCAAAACTATTTCTAAATTCAGTTCTAATTTCCAGCAAACGAATAAATGAACAATAATAACAAAGTGTGCTCAAAAACCTGAGTTATATCCTAAAACACATGCTGTGCCCCATATGGTCTAAAACCTGACAGGTGGACAAATCTAAGCTTGTTTTTAATAAAACAAATATAAATATGGATATAATAAATAATACTGCTAATAATAATAACATTATACAAAAGCAAATTGTTATGAATGAACTGAAAAAGCCTCCTGAGATGAAGAAGACATAAAAGCAGTGATTTTTCATATTTATGTAGGCTAGAAAATAATATGTTTTGTAATATTTTAATCCTTTATATTTACATCCTATTTCTATTCTTATTATATGCTATATATATCCTTAATATTTACATTTTTTCATATGTAAAGATATTTGCCTATTGCTCTCTTGTGTGTATTAAGCAGTGTGTAAGCGAGGCGCAACTCTGCGCCGGAGTTTAGACCGGGTTTGTTTTGGTCTAATGAAAAATCTATTATAGTTTCTCAAAATAGCGACGCGCCAGCGGTCCGCCTCAGAACACTTTCCTTTTTAGACCAGAACGCCTATGGACACACAAATGAGCGCTAATGCATTTGCTATTTAAACAGCGTAGCGCAGCGCCTCAAAACCACTCTTGCGCCAAGCTGAAACTACCAAAAGACTACTGCGTCACGCCTTGCGCCACACTGCGCCGGGTGTATGATAGGGCCCTTGGTCATTTTAAGCTCTTTGGCACATCACAGCAAATGAGAAGAAGGGGGCGGGGCATGTCAGACACTATGTCACTACGACACATTTATTTTGGTTGGAAGGTTTGCTGAGAAACAGAAGTATGACATCATAAAAATTGTTGATCCATTTAGGCGGAAGTGACGAAGTGCAATCTTTGGATGTTCACAAATCCTAAATGGGAATTTTGTCACTGTTTTGGAACGCAATAGTTTATATATATATATCCTTAAGATGAACATACTGATGCTAACATCTAAAAACTTTTTTTTCATTTCACAGAACCTGTAAACACTTGCGTTTTTTCCTCCACGAAATGCTAGTGTTGTAAACACTTACTGGCCACTTTATTAGGTACACCTCATTAGTACCCGTTTGAACCCCCTTTTGCCTTCAGATCTGCCTTATCCGTCGTGGATCCATGCTTTCACGTTGTATACTCCACATTCTGACCCGATCATCTGAATGTTGCAGCAATAATGGAGACTCATCAGAGCAGGCAACGTTTCTCCAATCTTCTATTGTCCAGTTTTGGTGAGTCTGTGTGAATTGTAGCCTCAGTTTCCTGTTCTTAGCTGACAGGAGCGGCACCCGGTGTGGTCTTCTGCTGCTGTAGCCCATCCGCCTCAAGGTTGGACGTGTTGTGTGTTCAGAGATGCTCTTCTGCAGACCTCGATTGTAACGAGTGCTTATTTGAGTTACTGTTGCCTTTCTATCAGCTGGAACCAGTCTGGCCATTCTCCTCTGGCATCAACAAGGCATTTGCGTCCATAGAGCTGCCGCTCACTGGATATTTCCTCTTTTTTTGACCACTGAAATACACAGAGCACCCAGTACTGGCACCAACAACCATGCCATATTCAAAGTCTCTTATATCCCCTTTCTTCCCCATTCTGATTCTCGGTTTGAACTGCAGTGGATCGTCTTGAGCATGTCTACATGCCTAAATGCATTGAGTTGCTGCCATGTGATTGGCTGATTAGAAATTTGCGTTAACAAGCAGTTGGACAGGTGTACCTAACAAAGTGGCCAGTGAGTGTAAATAAGCAATATTATGAAAACAATATTGTCAATCTGACCTCTCTCTCTCTGTGTTGTTAGCGCCCCCACTGGTGGACGGTGGTAGCTCTGTGAGTTTGTACAATCTGGAGATGTTCGCGCCACAGGTGGACGAGGCCAGAGAGGTGTACCAGGGCTCTGAGCTGGACTGTACTGTGCCCAGTTTATTGCCAGGCAGGACCTACGGCTTCCGGATTAGAGCGGCCAATAAAGCTGGAGTGAGTGCAAACATTGCTTTTCATAATGATCAGAACGTACCATTTAATCCACTTGTTCACACTGACTGATCACACAACACAGTTTCTGTGTCCAAACTCAGATGCCGAGAGCGAACAACAAATTATAGTAATTATACGCTCACGGCATGCTTTGACACAACTGGAAATCTGGATCATAGTGTTTATATCCATGCCTAATCTCATATTGTTAGTCAGTACATCCACATGGACTCACATTTTGATATTATTACAATTAAGTCAGTACTTTGATTTGAGAGGATAGTTGATATTCTTTAATTAATATTAAATTAATATTCGGTCATCGTTTACTCAACTTCCACTTTATTTATTTGTGTATTTATTTATTTATTTATTTGTTTGTGTATATGTGTTTGTTTAACAGTATGGGCCTTTCTCGGAGCGCTCTGAGGTGACGACGGGCCCTGGGGCCCCAGAGGCATGTAGGCCCCCTCACATCACTTGTAAATCCCCCACGTGTGCTGTGGTCAGCTGGGAGGTGAGGATAGCCCATGATCCCTTTGATTTTCTTTTTGTTATTTTTAGTTTTCTTAGTTTTCATTTTTTGAGAATTGTTTTTTATTTTTATAAAAAAATATTTTAGCTTGTTTATTTATTTATTTTTAATGTATTTATTTTATTGTTTTTTTTTATCTTATAAATTTGTATTTTGTCAGGTTTTATTTGTTTTATTATATGCTTTATTAATTTATTTACTTGATTGAACTGTATTTATTTGTTTATTTTTATTGTGTTTATTTCATTTATACTGTATTGCTTTATTTATGTATTTTATCTTTATTTATTTATTTGCTTTTAATTAATTAATTTATTTTAAATTTAATATTGTTAATGTATTTACTTTGTCTTATTTAATAAATTTATATTTTGTTGCTTTTTTATTTTCATTTATTTTATTTTATTTTATTTTTAATTAATTTATTTTGTCTTTATTTATAAATTTTTTTTTATTTATTTTATTTATTTATTGTTAATGTGTTTATTTATTTTATCTTATTAATTTATACTTTATAGCTTTTTATTTGTTTATTTTATCTTGTTTATTCATTTATTTATTCTAAATTTATTTTATTTTATCCTTTTTGTAATTCTTATTTATTTATTAAATTTTTGCTTGTAAAATTTATTTTAGTTATTTAATTATACTGTATTTATTCATTTGATCTTATTTGTTTATAATTTTTGTTTTGAAATTTATTTTGTCCTTTATTTAGTTATTTTTATTGTATTTAGTTATTTATTTATTTTGAATGTGTTTATTTTATCTTTTTTATTAACTTATATTTTGTTGCTTTTTATTTTTATCTATTTATTTTATCTTTATTTATTTTTCATGAATTTATTCTATCTTATTTATTATGAATATATATTTTTTTATTTGTAATGTATTTGTTTTGTCTTATTTGTCAATTTAAAATTTGTTGTTTTTTAATTTTAATTTATATTGTTTCATCTTGTTTATTATTTTATTTTAACGCATTTTAACGCATGTTGTTGCTTTTATTTATTTATTTATTTATTTACTTATTTATTTATTTAGTTTACTTTTAATTTGGTAATTTATTTAATGTATTAATTTGGTGTTCACAATAAATTTACATTGTTTGTGTGTGTGTGTGTGTGCGTGCGTGCGTGCGTGCGTGCGTGCGTGCGTGCGTTTTTAACGTGTTGTTCTCGCTGTGGCTCAGGCTCCGGTCAGTAATGGGGCAGTGGTGTCAGAGTATCGTCTGGAATGGGGCGCAGCCGAGGGCAGCATGCAGGTGTGTTACAGCGGTGCCGCTCTCTGCCACGAGATGAGGGGTCTGCTGCCCGCCAACAACTACTTCTGCAGAGTCCAGGTCAGAAACACACACTGACAACACACACACATACACACACACACACACACTCATATATTATGTGAACAACACAACAAAATGCAGACTGGTGATATTTGATAAAGCCTTTTGTTTACTTTAATGTTTTTATTGTTTGCTTTATCATATTCGTTTTTATTGTGTTTTTAGTATTTAATAATACTGATAAATTACTTAATAAACACATTTATTTATTGCAGTTTGTTTTATATATATATATATATTTTTTTTTTTTTTAATTTTTTTTTTATGTTTGCTTTCATGATTTTATCAATTTCTTTTTTCATATATATACACACACACACACACACACGCACACATATATATATATATATATATATATGTGTATGTATTTGTGTATATATGTGTATATGTTTATTTTTGCTTTATTGTGTTTTATTATTTGTATTTTTAATATTTTGCTTTAATTTATTGCATTTTTAATTTGTTTACTTTATTTGTTTGCTTTCGTGTCTTTTATTCTTAGCTTTTTTATATTTGCTTTTTGTTTTGTTTAGGTTTTAAAGTTTTTGCCTAATAAATTGTTAATTCTTTTATTTTTATTTATTTTTTTTTGGCTTTTCATGTTTGCTTTTATGTTTTTGTTGTTTGGTTTTGACATTTTTTTTTTCCCTCAATAAATGAATACAATAAATCCATAAATCTATTGCAGTTTTTGTTTCATTTTTTATTTTATGTTTGATTTTTGTTTAACTTTTTATGTTTGCCTTAATATATTAATTCTTTTCTTTGTTTTTATTCTTTTTTAATATATTTATTGCTTTTTTCTTAAATGAATTTATTGGCGTTTTTGTTTTATTTTGTATTTCATGTTTGTGTTTTTGTCTTTGCTTTCATATTATCTTTTGCTTCTTTGTTTTGTTTGTTTTCTGCTTTTATTGTGTTTTAGTCTTTTTTTTTCTTTTATTTTTGCCCATTAAATACATTTATTTATTGCAGTTTTTGTTTTAGCTTGTGTTTTATGCTGATTTTGCATTTATTACTGGTGAACAGGAATAAATAAATAAATAAATAAATAAATAAATAAAGTCGCTCGATGGTGATTCATAAAAATGAGTGGACAAGAGGATAGAGCCAACTTTACCTCCTCATCGCCACTCAGCGGTTAAATGAGGAAATGCAGATCTGTTTTCCTGCGTGCTTTAGTGTTTCCTTATTGCTGGATGGAGAGCTGTTCTCTATTGATTAGTGGCTGAAATTGCTTAATTAAATATTCCGATTCATTCAAAAGATTAATTTGTTGTTCATATCAGGACGGTTACTCACTGACTAACTGAGCCTGCTTGCTTTTTTGTTGAAACGTTTTGCTTTATTATTTTGTTTATAGCCAGTATTTCGTTTGTATTGTGTTTTATTTTAGATTTTCTATTTTTATTGTTTGCTTTTTTCCTTAGTTTTTTTGTGTTGCGTTTTAGCATTTAGTTTTTACTTTAAGTTATTTATCTTTCTATTTTATTTTATCTTTTTGTTTGCTTTTAAGTTTTTATTGTTTGACTTTTTCACATTTGTTGTTTGCTTTTATTGTGCTTTAAAAAACAGGATGCCAAATCAGCAAATTATATCAAGCAATATCTAAGTGTGAACTCGTTTTTTTTACTTGACTTTTGACTTTTTAACTTTTTTTACTATTCCTCATCTGTCTGCGTTTTTATTGTTGCTTTTTTCACATTTGTTTTTTGCTTTTATTGCATTTTAGTGTTCAATATTTTGCTTAATACATTAGGAATGTTATTGCAGTTTTTATTTCATGTTTTATTTAATTTGTTTTTTCTTTTGTGTTTTCGCATTTAGTAATTTGTTTTTGTAGCATCTCTTTATTGTTTGCTTTATTCATATGTGTGTTTTTTTTTTTTGCTTTATGAAAAAATATTTATTGCAGTTTTTACATCTTTTATTTATATTTGGCGTGTGTGTGCGTTTTCTGTTTTTGCATTTAGTTTTTTGCATTTAGTTTTTGATTGTGTTTTTGTATTTTTTAAATAAATTTTTCTGTAGTCGAATTTTATAGCGTCGTTTTATTGTTTGCTTTATTCTTTTTTATTTTGGTTTTTGCTTGAAAAAAATATGTTTTTGTTTTATCTTTTATTTTTGTTTCAATTTGTAATTTATTTAATTATTTAATGTCTGTTATTTATATATATATATATATAATTTTATTGCAGTTTTTGTTTTTTATTTTTATTTTGTGTTTTCTTTTTAGGCTTTTTGTGTTTGCATTTATGTTTTTATTCTTTGCTTTTTTTTTGCTTTTATGGTGTTTCAGTGTGTGTGTGTATATTTATATAATTTTTTTTTTGCTCAAAGTAATTTATTTATTGCCATGTTTTATTATTTATTTTTATTATTTTTTTTTGCCTTTGTGTTTGATTTTATGTGTTTATTCTTTGCTATTTTGCTTTTTTATTTTTGATTTAGCATTTTTGCAGTGTTTTTATTGCAATTTTTGTATTTGCTTTTTGGCTTTTGTTGTTTGTTTATATTTATTTTTTTATTTTAGTAGCAGTTTGTTTGTTTAATTCATACTATTTATTAGCAATTTAATTATTTTCTTTTCATTTTTTGGGCATTTTAGCTTTTGTCTTTTTTGTTTTGTTGTTTTGCTTTCAAGCACATTTGCTGTGTAAATATTTAAAGTTGTTGTTGTTGTTTTGCAGTAGATTTTTCAAGCATTCATTCATTCATTCATTTTCCTTCAGCTTAGTCCCTTTATTCATCAAAGGTCGCCACAGCGGAATGACCCACCAACTTATCCAGCATATGTTTTACGCAACAGATGCCCTTCCAGCTGCAACCCAGTACTGGGAAACATCCATACACACTCATTCATACACATATACTAGAGCCATTTTAGTTTACCCAATTCCTCTATAGCGCATGTGTTTGGACTGTGGGAAAACCGGAGCACCCGGAGGAAACCCACGTCCACACGGGGAGAACATGCAAACTCCACACAGAAACTTTTAAAGCATTTTTTTATTTATTTAGTCTTGCTGTTTTATTGCTGTGTGGATGTATAAAGATGTCCTTTCCATGTGTGTTTTGTTCAGGCGGTGAACGCTGCGGGCGCCGGCCCCTTCAGTGAGCTGATGTTCTGCCAGACGCCGTGTTCGGTGCCAGCGATGATCAGCAGCGTTCATGCGCTCCGAGATTCTGAGATGAAGATCCAGGAGCGAACAGCGGAAAGAGGAGAAGAGGAGGAGGAGGACGAAGAGGAGGATGAAGAGTCTGCCATGCTCTACTCTCCATCCACATGTCTGGGTCTGCGCTGGGAAGCTCCTTGTGACCACGGATCACAAATCACATCATATCTGATCGACCTGGGAGAGAAACAACCCATCCTCACCGGACCGGTGACCCAGTACATCATCCAGAACCTGCAGCCGGACACCACCTACAGGTAAACACACAGCTGTGTTTATATTTGTGTTCTTTTTTTCATTATGAATACATTCATCTATATATATATATATATATATATATATATATA